CCAAACTGTGGACAAACTATACGGTAATGTTCTACTTTTTTTTTTGGTTCAAAAACATTCCTTTGTCAAATTCATTTAGCACTGATTTCATTTCCAGATGTAAGGTCTTGTGAATAAAGACATCATGGTTTACTTAGAAATTTAGAAACAAAAATAATAAAAAGGACTTAATAACCAAGCATATGTTGTTGCAACTTCAACTGTAGCAGTTGCAAAATCATTTGGTACAGCATAATAAATTAAAGAATAACTTATTACTGTTTAAGAATGTTACTTAAGATTTTGTTTGCTCAAATTCCCAGAATATTTTCCAGTCAAATCGTATGATTTATCAATGACATAACTATAACTGGTATAATTAAAGAGCTGAGAATAAAATCTGAAATACTTAAATTCTTAGTTAAACTTCGTATAGCAGATCATTTGTTTTTACCCTTCAATTAGCAGCTGAGATCTTTTTGCTGTTGTTGTTAACAATAATCCATGTGGAGTTAAGGTGTTACTGCATCTTTAAGAACGTACATGAGGTCAACTTACTCCGTAATCAGTTGTCTAAACTACCTTGTTGCATTTCCGACACTGTTAATTTAAATCTTATATATGTACCCGTATTCTTTGTTATGCACACTTCTACAACCACAAAACAAAATCTTATTGCTCAGCATATTTGTGTATGCAAGCAGTAGACCCCTGAAAGCAGAACGTAATATTGTGATATTTTCTTTAATAGTGTATCCCGTGGTGGGTCAACGGTAAGTCTGCAGATTTAACGCTAAAATGCGGCGTTCAATTCCCGCAGTGAACAGAGCGCAGATATCCCAGTGTGTAGTTTTACGTTAATGCAGACAAAGAACATTTATTAGCGGATAAATATAGTTAGTTTTACCAAAATATGCTCCATATTGAAATTGACCACTTTGGATTGTAACATTAGTTCATAAATTATTCCTGGTATTGCTACTATTTTTTTAATATTTTTTTACATATTCAGCAAGCTTTGCAGCATATAATTGTATTGAATGGTTCTCTTCTTATGGCAAGAGATAGCTACTTCGCGAGAAAATCCTCAGAATCTAACTGACTCCACAATAAAACGGAATATACGTGTAGTAATCTCTGAAACTAGATTACATGCATGATGAACTGAATTGGTAACATGGACGTTTTTTTCAATGTTTTACAACTTATCTTGGTTGAGCGATCAGGAAAATAAGTTATTCTATTATACATCGTTAAACTTATTGATTAGTGGCATGAAATACAACAGAGAAAATGTAAATAAAAATAATTATGAGCGGTATTTTCAACGGTTTAATATAATGAATTGCCAAACATGAATATCTAATTAACACAAGATATATTGTTGTACATTGAAGCTCTACAAAAGACTCTCTCTTCACTATATTTCAGTAGTGTAAAGAAAATTAGTCGTGCAGTAAATTACATTTCTATTTATTTAACCATCAGACCGGACGAACTGTGGATCCGAGAATTTATGTGTAGCGACCTGTTACCGTAATAATGCTCTTCGCTCTTTGAGGTTGTAGGGGCGCTATAGGTGTAACTGACAAATTACAATATTTACTCAGACAAAAGTAGCCTAAAAGTTCCAAAATAATGACGCCTATGCGAAGATAACATTGTGTAGGTTTGCGCAAAGTCATGGAACAGACAAACAAACAAAGTGTTGTGCCCTTCTTCATACGTTTGACTCGCTATTTTGATTGTTTTCGAAATTATTATAATAACTAACTGTTTTTGTTTTTGGTTCAAAGGAAAGCGTATAACGAATCCTCCACAAACGATAATTGCCCTACATTTCTGCTATAGAACGTCAGAGGTTTTCAGTCTATTATCAATATGCAAGGTTCAAAGGACCCACGGAATTGTAATTTGAACAAAATGGATGAGAGAGTGGGTCAATTATATTTACTTTTAGCTTAAGTTTTCATACAAATTTATAGTAAAAATTAGTTCACTCAAAATATGAAATACAAAAACCAGTGGTTTTGAATAAAAGGAGTACTTCTCCAGTCTAACGTTAGTCAGCTATAGCTCCGATTTATATTTACACAGGAACTTCATTCGTTCTTCGAAGAAAGAAAAAATACTTGAACAGTTTCAGATAAAATTAGGTAGTTAGGAGATAAAACTAGGTAGCTAGAAGATAAAACTGAATAGCTAGAAGTTAAAACTAAGTAGCTAGGAGATAAAACTAGGTAGCTAAGAGATAAAACTATGTAGCTAGAAGATAAAGCTAGGTAGATAGGAGATAAAACTAAGTAGCTAGAAGATAAAACTAAGTAGCTAGGAGATAAAACTAGGTAGCTAAGAGATAAAACTATGTAGCTAGAAGATAAAACTAGGTAGATAGGAGATAAAACTAAGTAGCTAGAAGATAAAACTAGGTAGATAGGAGATAAAATTAAGTAGGTAGTAGATAAAACTAAGTAGTTAAGAGATAAAACCATGTAGCTAGAAGATAAAACTAGGTAGCTAGGAGATAGAACTAGGTAGCTCTGAACACCAGAATAGCAAATGAAGCAAAACACTATTGGTTTCAACACATAAAGAAAAATTTCCACATAACTCTTCAATCGATGTTTAATACCCTTAGTAATAAACTTGTCATGGATTTCGTGAAAATGCAAAATAAGAATTAGTCACTTGGTAACTTTCTTATTAATTATTATTATTATTACATCTCTGAATATGTTTATCAAGATAATTACTTTATCATCATGCTGTTTCTGCAATTATAACAAACCGCACTGAATTCTAGATAAATCTCTTTCTTCATTAATTTAACTTTGTTCTAATGCTTAAGCCTATAATGTATTTTCGCTCTTTATTAAATTACAAAAACAAGAACTGTACGCAAAAGCAGAAATATATGAGCTCTCTAAGAAATATGTTACACAATAATTACTTTTATTACAACTTAAATGTCTAAGGTTTTTGTTTATATTGCCTATACGGTACGTGGGACTTATCGGAGACAGAAAACCGATTTCATAAGGTGAATGATACCTTTAGATAAATAATTAAAGCGTGGTACTAAAACGAAGGTATCTCGGACACAAAAACAATATAGTTTGCTGGTTGTAATTTGTAAGTATGTAAAAACAAAATAACACACATATATATATATATATAAATTACACTTTTAGAGAAAAAAATCACTTCTTAAAAACTATGGTAATAATTTATTAAATTGACGACGTTTCGAGCAAACGTTTTTTTTCAAACCAGAAACAAATATATATATATATATATTACTGATAAAAAACAAATAAATTTCAAAAATCATTGATTTCAGAAACGATATAATGGAGTAAAGATGAACATTATCCACACTAAAATGGTCATTAGGCTTATGTATTTTAGACTTAAACTCAGTTTCGAAATCACACAGAACTATGTAATTTACAAAATGGTGAGTCTGGTTGAAATGTAATACAAAAGAAGGTACCTTTTATGTTATTAGAAGCTTAGTGATTACTAATGGTTAATTTTTAACATTGTTAGTGATACATATGGGTGTGTACTGTGTAAATAATGTCAGGGATCTCAGAATAAAGTGCTTTGGATATTGTGTGTCGCGAAAAATTCTTAGTTTTCGGGAATTTGCATTTCTCACAGCGTATTTTATTAAAAGGTCGGAAGTCATTATTTTGTGGAATATAATTAACCATAGGATATCTATAATATTTTTGCTCTTTCAGAAAAAAAAAACACGGATAATTTGTTTTAAGCAGAAAATAATTTTAATTTAAATTATTATTTACTCTTACAGAGAGTTAGAGACGCCCTTTGGACTTTTAAAGCTAAACTGTCATACAGTTTCTTTTCATTGTCTGTCAGTCTCAGTTTTAACAATTTTTTCTATCAATGTAATTTTATGTCTCTTCGTGTTTTATGAAGAGACATAATCCATGTTTTATGGATTTGTTTTTGTTAGCACAAATTATATTAATGTAGAAGATTCGACACTATGTGGTATTTTGTTTACTTTGAGGTAATTTTTGTATTGAATATGCTTTGGTCTGGTCCTTGGTTCTCTGTACAAGACATTAGAAGGTCGTCTCTCAATGGCACAGCAACGTTTTGTAATATAATCAAGATGGAAGAATCAAGAGTAAATTTTACCGTTTTATGTAAAGAGCTAAAATTGAAAATAAAGATTTTAACGTGTGCATTTGGTGTAGAGGCCACTTAATCCTAATTATGTTGGAAAAGTTAGGAATATTTTTTTATTTCTATGATATTTTATTGTTTGTTGTTAAAATCAAAATTATCTATGATCAAAATAGATTGGTTAGATGACTTATTTGTGGAACTGTATAGATTTAGATCAATTTCCGTAATTTCATGCCTTTTGTAGAGAAAATTTCTACAAAGCAAAGAACACTCAAGATATATAAGCTCTTTGTCATTACTATTCTAAATCAAAATCATTATTTGACAAACGTCTGTCTGTGTGTATCTCCGTTTCTAACTGGCGAACCGCTTGACCGATTCTCACCAAACCTGACATGTACCCTTAGAGTCTCCTAGAAAGTGACACATGGAGGGGCCCGTGTTTAGATCTGACCTCCCTATGCCACCCTATTGGGTCCCTCTATGTCTTTCCCGTGTGTTGAACGGGTACGTCAGCTGGTAATGTTTATAAGATGACAGTGAAATCTGTTGTAGGGAGATGTGTGATGTGGTAGTTTCAACATAAACAGGTAACGTTTCGCTGGCCATGTTTGTTCTAGAAAATAGGACAGCCTGAACTATTTAGTTTGTACAGTAGGCTTAACACATAACTCATAAAAATACTTAAAAATGTTATTTATAGATATATTATTTAAAGTTAAAGAAGTCTACAAGAAATATATAACATTTTTCTGAAAATCTTTCCTATACTTATAAACAAAATGTGTGTAACTTTATGATAAACTAACCGTATTATGTAATTAGTTTTCTCACTCTATATAAATGTTTCACGTCTGCAGCGGTTTCTGTATCCGTCAGCGTGTGGACACTCGCATCTATCTCCCTAGAAAGGTTTTTTGCCATATGTCAACCGTTTCGATCCCGCCAATGGCAAACAATCTCTCACTCGTACAAGGTGATCGTGTGGATATGGATTGGATCCCTCCTGACCATGTTACCACTAGCTGTTCTAAGCCGTCTACTTCCAACTAAAGTATCAGGTGAGTATATCTGTAATTATAAGTACTAGTATATCCATAATTGAATGTACTAGTATATTTGTAATTATAAGTACTAGTATATCCATAATTGAATGTACTAGTATATTTGTAATTATAAGTACTAGTATATCTGTAATTATAAGTACTAGTATATCTGTAATTATAAGTACTAGTATATCCATAATTGAATGTACTAGTATATTTGTAATTATAAGTACTAGTATATCTGTAATTATAAGTACTAATATATCCATAATTATAAGTACTAGTATATCCATAATTGAATGTACTAGTATATTTGTAATTATAAGTACTAGTATAGCTGTAATTATAAGTACTAGAAATAACATTTTACAAGTGAGAGATTAAGTTAATTAGTTGCATGTATGAATAAGTTAGTAACATGGCAACCCTTAATTAAAATGTTCTGCAGATTATATGATACAGCTGAAAGCTTCTCAAAAGCCGTTGCTAAGAAACGACCTTAAAAATGGATACTTTACTTCGTTAACAAATATCCATCCATAATTTGGAGTTGAGAAACTAGAGGAAAAGCAGCTAGCACCCACCGCCAACTTAAAACTACTCTTCTCTTACCTAATAGTAGGATTTGACTGTCATTCTTGTAATGCATATCGTTCCTAACGTGCAAAGCGTGGTTCTGTAGCAACAGACCGTGAACCATAAATCCTCGAATTCACAATCCGGGCACGCTAACCACTAAGCCACTTCAAGGGCAAGTGTTTCATGTTTAGAACATGCCCGTTCTATTCACCATCATGGTAATTTACGTTTTATGGTTGACTTAGTGTAATATGTATTTGTACTTATTTCTAAACTGTTTTAGTTTTCGCGAAAGTACAAAAGGAAAAAGACAAATTAGTTACCATATTTCGGCGTCAGTACCAAAAGAAACGATTTGGCTTTGTTGTGACAGTTATAAGTACCTCGTAGTGCTCGACTGTTTAACATTAAACACTTTCAGCCATTGGTGCATAAATGGGACACACTACATAACGTTTGTCTTAGCATTCAAAAGTGTGATATTTAAGTAAGTTTTCTGAAAAATGGGTATGCAATAAGTTCAACCATTTTATACCCAATTAAACAAAGTTGCAGATTTTGCGAATTAATTAGAAAATGTGGGAAACAAATCAACAAATAGTTATTTTATTGTTTGCTCATATCATCAAGTGTGAAATATTTGAGGCAAGTATGTCTATAATCATTTCATGTTATATGACAAATAATAAACGAGGTAATAATAATTATATAATATCGCATGTGTTTCTCTTTGTGAGAATCTAAAAATGAACTTGGGGGAAATGTTTGTGTATAAATGTGGATTCGAAAGAGTTAGAGTCAGTTTTTTCAGTAACTAAATGTGCCTTTTTAGAGCCCCCTTAGAGGCTCAGTGGTAAGTCTTGAGGACTTATATCCCTAAAAATCGGGTTTCGATAACCCGATGTGCAGCTTTGTGCTAAAAACAAACAAAAAAGCATTTTCACTAGTCTCACGAAGCGCAACATGTCGGTAAGGGAATGTTTTCTAGTTATAGCTTCTCACACCAAAGTTTTTTATAATCCAAATCACTCTGTATCTTATCTTTTGATGTACACGTAAGTTATTTGTATTTCACTATTCCCTCTATTAAGGAGGTTGCTTTACTATGTAATACAAGAATAATTTTTGAACTATTAAATTTTTATCATTTGAGAAAAGTTTTTCTTTATATTTCAAGAAATGATAATCTAACTTAGCTCACAGACAAGCAAACATATATATACAAGAATTGTTTTCTTTCGATTATTTTCGTAACTTTCAGTAAAGAACGTGAAAAAGAATTATAAAAAAACACAGTTTGTACATCGGAAAAGAAGAGTTGTTGTAGTTGTTGTTTTTTTTGAATAATGAAACAATACAAAATTCTGTTTGGTTGTTAGTTATTAAGTTCAAAGCTTCATAGTGGGCTATCTGCGTTGTGTCCATCAAAGGTTTCGAAACTTGTTTTTGGAGTTATAAGTTTTCAGACTTACAAATGAACTACTGGGAGGCATAAAATTATGATTTATTTTGTTAATATGCGAACAATCAAGAAACAACAAGAATTACACTAAGTATGAATTAATAATTATTAACTTACGACTAATATTTCCAAAGTTCCTGTTTTTCATCAAACCTGTTTGCTACAGTAATTTCGATATCATTATAATTACTTCTCCGTTGATAACCTTCGATATTTAGCAGTTCATTTTACACTTTAGAGCGGGTTGTTGTTTTTTCTTAACTTAGCCTTTCGTGCCTTATAATCATAATTTTATTGAAATAATTCGGCCTATCTTGTTCACTACTGAAATTTGCCGAGATAACTTGTAGTCGCTACCAGTATTTAATTTTCTGTGCTCTTCCTGAATTTTTGCTCCTTGTCGTACTGATACGAGGAACAATAACAGAAACATTTGTTACAAGTTTAAGATAACAATCAACGTTATACGGCAAATTTATGTTATTAGAAAGTTTAATTTTTTATTTGCCAAAATTATATCAATTACAAATACAACGTACACTACACATTAGTAAATTATTTCATTCTGTGAAAATTATATCGGACTATTCCGTCAAAATGAACAGTCATTTATATACTGAAATGTGAACTGACTTGTATTCATTCTATCTCTCCACAAATCGTTGAAGAACTAGAGCAGTTGATTGTAAATATGTGCGCAAATTTCTTGGAAAATGGTTAAAACGTGTTTTATTGCAATTATTTTGGAAAACTGAAAATGGGAGGAAAGATGTCTCGCAAGTAGATGAGATATCGTACAAGCTTATTGTGTGTACAAGCTCTCCGGCTTTGTTTTTTGTTTGCAGTTAAATCTCTACAGGTAACATGCTAACAATGAATCATTAGCCATAACAAAAGTTTATGCAATTTTCAAACAATTGGTGTAAATTCGACTATTAATATATCTTTTTAAAATTTTGTTTCGTTTGAGGCTTTACTGCAATCATACAGAAGCATTAAAATAAAAGATTTACGTTATATGAGAAAGGGTTTCTCAGAAACAAACACAATTTTTGTTCTCGTACAATAGATACGAATAATTTGCGACCACCGAGTGATGGCGTTAATACATTAATATACATTCGTTTCTTGGCCAAATGTGGACTATGTATCTGTGGGTTGAAGGTTAATTTCTTTAACAAAATAAAAAACGTCCTCCGCACTTTAGGTTCGTGGGTTGTGTTATAAAGGTAATTACGATAAAACCCACTATTCGGTCAGACAAAAGTAGCCCAAAAGTTAGCAGTAGGTGCTGTTGAGAGGTGCCTTCCCTGTAGTCTATCACTTCAAAATTAGCTATAACTAGAGTAGATAGTCATGTAGTTGCATTGTACGAATATCCAAAAACAAACAATCAAAAAGTATGTTCGGTGCTACAATGATATTAAATGTTACGTCTTTTCAAAAAAGGTGGAGTGACTAAGTGTTACTTCTTTTCAAAATAGGTGGTGTGATCAAATGGTACGTCTTTTCAAGATAGGTGATGTGCAACACTATTACAAAATGGTGACTGCGAGTGAGGCTAGCTTAGTGTTGTTCTGACCTAACGACTTCAACTTTTTGGTTCTCTTAAGAACAGTCTATATTGTATAATATTTCTAGTTTACTGGTGTTTAATAATCTCACAAGTGTTTTATAGGGAAGATTAGAGATGAGGAATTTAAAGAAAAGCAACGTATTGAAAGAAACTATGTTACGAAGTAGTTTCTGGTTCTGCACATAAATTAATTTGATTAATTTAAGTTTGGATCTAATTTGATGCTAGCTTACATAACATTAGTAATTACGTTGTTTTTAATAAGGAATTACAAAGCGGCTTGGAATCTTTATCCCCAGAGTTGGTATGTGTGTTTCAGATGAAATGTATAATATAATATTATTGTATTATCTTGTTGTGTTGGTAACAAAACTGAACCCTGATGAGTTTGAAAAAGGTTTATCAAGATATATTAGTACAAACAAAGTAAAATCCGAATGAATTTCGAGAACATGAAGCTGTGTTTGTTTGTTTGTTAGATTTCGCGCAAAGCTGAAAACTAAGTAGTAGCCTAGATAGAAGGCAGGTAGTCAACACCTCCTACATCCAACCCTTGCTTTACTCTATCAGACCGAATAGGAGGATTTAGCTGTCACTCTTATACCACACCCACAGCCCCAAAGTGTGGATTGCAATTATTTTTATGATAACGGGACGCGAACCATTGAACTTAGGACCTGCAGTTTGGTACGCTAACCAATAGGACACGCCCGGCTTTAATGATAAAATACTCTTCTGGTAAATACCAGTTTTCGCTTTGGTGTACTAGTGTGCAACAAGAAAATTCTAGTAAAACAAAGTTTTTTTCTTCCAAACAAAGCACGAATGCTTTTACTTAGTAGAAACCACACACCTTTTAGATACGAGAGTTTTCTTTTACAAGCTTGCTAAGCATGAGATTGGTATTGCTTGTTGATGATTAAGTAAAAATGCAACAGTCATGTAGGTGTTAATAATACATAAACAACGCTGGAAATATTTTTCTACTCGTCGGAATTGCAACTTTCTAACACCAGGGATCATTTTGTTCGAGACATCCTTTTAGAGGTACATGATTTTTGAATTGACAGATCTTGTCATTGGTGCTTAAGAGAGAGAGAGAGATCTAAAACGTGATATCGTGGATTCCAAAAGCAAGCAGTTTAGCGTCTTATATTTGATTAATTTTGATATATCAAATTTCTACTATACTTATGAGCAAGAAGATCTCATGCTATTTCAATTTCCTGGAATAGTGTTGGTGTACTAAAATGAAATTTTACCAGTAAAAATTAAAAGTGAAAAGCCGAAATTTCAATAACGATATACTTTTCACGGCATTCATTCTTCTATATTGGTCATATATAAAAATCAACAAGTTTTATCACCTGATCTACCCAAATACCTTTGAGGAGTGCA